CCAGGACATGACTGTATAGACAACAAATTCGATTTGCGGAAGGTGGTAAAGCAGCGCCACGCATTCCGCAGGCCTACTGTGTCCCTCGATTTCAAAAGTGCGTTCCGTTCAGTAGATCGATGCATTCTGTTCGAAATACTTGCGCGGATTCGTGTTCCCGCAAAATATGTGAACATCTTACTTGCTCTGTACTGGAACACTACAGGCCGCGTCAAGGCCTACGGTGATCTGTCAGATAGGTTTCCGACCATAATTAACGTTCTTCAGGGTTGTCCGATTTCCCCATTTTGCCCAATTTCGTTGTGGACTCCATCATGGATTATTCCTTTGCAAAATCTCGCGATGTAGACGTTTAGGTGCTGCCTGATGAAAAGTTGTTTATGCGAACAATATCGTCTTGCTTTTTGACGATGTGGCGGCACAATCAGTTCTGAAGTGCCTCTATAGTGGTCACATCATTTGGTACGCTCCTCACACCTTCAAGGTGCAAAAATTGCTGCAGGACCATCAGCCACTTGATGGCCCCTTGACTCTTGATAACGAGGAATTCGAGGTTGCTGATTGACTCACTTATCTTGGCAGCTGCATCAGCAACGATGGGTGCATAGAAACTAGATTCAGTTCACGCACTGCATAAACCAGAACTGCTTTTTTGAACCTGCGGCATCTTTGGAGACAGAAGGGACTTCCTCAATCTAAAAAGCCGTGTTTACAAGGCCACAGTGAGGGCCGTCCTGCTCTATACGAGTGCGACTTGGTCCCTTCGGTCTGATGATCTGAGGCGCCTTCAACTTCCTGATCATCGTTGTCTACGGAGCATTGCTGGAGTCGGGTGGCACCAGCGTGTCCGCAACGGTGGGTTGGAGAGTACTAGGCAGTGACAACCAAGCTCCTTCCTTAGAACAACGGATAGCACTGAATAACTTGCGTCGGATTGGGCACATACTACTTATGCCTGGTCACCGCTTACCTAAAGTGGCCTTGTTTAGCCTGCCTGTTATAGGGTAGCGCAAGGCTCGAGGTGGACAAAAGGTGACTTGGCAGCTTGAAATAAAGTCACCGACGACCAAACTAGGTGTCATCAATCCTTCTTGCCTTCCAGACCGGAGTCCACATGACCCGCCTTGTGCTTGGCTCAAGACTTTACAGGACATGGCTCGCACTTGACGTCAGTGGCATGTTTACTGTCGTCTGCCCGTTTAAAGTGTGTTTGCTGCTGAGTTATCTGCGGGATAAAGGCTGATTATGACACGGGTCAATGAAAGCAGTAAGGAAGCTGTCTCGCCGATTCCGCCTTTTCTTTGCCCGACAGCGAGCTGTTTGTTACGGTATGTTGTTAATACAAGGGGTGGTCACCTGTCCCCTGTATGCTTGCTTATGGTTTTCAGTTTTCTCCGATAAGCCCCTTCTCTCTCTCTTAGTATTCTTTATCCTATAGGTCATCACGGTTGTATAGGAGAGAGGCTGATGTACTGCTGTTGTTGATTGTTGTCTGATGAGGCGAATGAGTCTCAATGATCCCAGCGCGACGAGATAGGATCTTGATGCTTTGCAATGTGTTCTGTGCCTCAACGATACAGTGAACTATATTGGGTGGTGCTTCTTGCACCTTCTGAGCCGCTCATACCAGATTGGTCAATGGTTGGAGGCCAGGCAAACTCAGTCTCGTTGTCCTCTAAGTTGGAGTGTGGGTGGCGCCTTGCTCTATAATACGGACTCTGTAGCCTAGTGCCAAAATCAACTGCCTTCCAGTCAGGTCTTTGAAACAGAGACTTTAGTTGAGAATCCTACTCGTTCTCCTGTCTAGGCCTGGCCAGCTTGACAGCATCCTGTCCACGCAATACAATGAACCTTTCTTTAAGTGGTTTCTTGGTGCTCTGGCCATCGCAGGGGAGAATCGACGTCACCCAATCTTTTGCATCAAGCAAAGTGGATAGGGAGGAGGATACTACTAAAGCCTTCTCCTCTTCATGTTACTCCCTTGCACATTTTCATCTTCAGCATCCCCTTCCAATTGCACTTTTATCTCTCATACCTTCAGCCCCTAAATTCTTGGCCCTCTCCCATTTCGTTAAGACTGGCACGCCTCGACGTGCGCACTTTATTGTAGATGGGCGAACAGGAAACGCTTGCCCGAACACTAGCGGCCATCTCGATCGATAACTGCTGCTTATCGGAAGCTCGCCTGCAAAATTCGAGCTCTGGGTTCATTCTGCGATCCGTCATAAATGACAGAGACGGCACTTGTTCACTGTGTCCGTCTGGAGATAACGCAACTTCAAATACCGGTCAAGCCGTTGTGTTCGTTGCTTTTAGCCCCCTAGCTCAACCAGCCTTGATCGATTGAATCCCAATGAATAACCGGGTGTGCGTTGTCAGATTAGTTGGCTCTTTCAAACCGCGCGGGAACAAATGGTGCTTGTTTGTCGTGACGGCCTACGCGCCTACAAATTGTAATGCAGACTCGGTGAAACACGATTTCTACTACCAATTGAACTTTCTCATTCATCACAGAAAAGTACGGACATTGTGGTGCGGGCTGGTGATCTGAACGCTAACTTGGTATATTGTCCACTGCTAAGCTGCAATTGCACAGCCAACACGCTATAGGCTGCCGTAATGATAACGGTGAGCGGTTTTTACACATGTGTGCGAATTCTTGTCTCTTACGAGCAGTAATTCCCTACACAGCAGCCGCAGAAGAGTGAAATGGCGCCCACCAGCCATGGATCCAGACTGATCACGATTTGGTCATTTACCACTGCAGAGTATGTGCCCGAAACTGTCGCTAGATTTGGATCACGAGCATAGACTGCTATCATGCTCTTATGTGTGCAAACCTCCGGGGGCGTTTCGCGGACGTCCGCAACGTCGCTACGAGCGCATAAATACCAGTGAACTGACGAAGCCGGATGTTCTGGATGCGTATCAAAGTACGCTGGCATCCGAACTGAGTAAGCGCCCACTGAACACAGCAGAGGGCCACTGGTCGCATATCTACCAGACGCTATTAGAAGCAGACATGTCTATGTGGCAAATCAAATTGCCTACCTGGACATTGGGTTACTAGGCAGTCTCTTGAACTCCTCGATGCTCGCCGACACATTCCGGCTGGGAAAGAATACAACGATGGCTCGCAGAAACCTCACAGCGGGACCGCGTGCTAGCCTGAAGAGTGACCTCGAATCTTAGTTGTTTCATCGTGCTTCGGATACTTAAGTCGTAGTTGCCCTTGATAACCATCGCGTTATTTCGCCTAATACGGTAAACGGGCAGCAGAAGACCTGGTGTTAGTGAAACTATATGTGACGAGAGTGGATAGCCTATGCACAACTTGTCAAAACGTTTGGAGCGTTAAACTGAGCACTTTGAAATATAAATTAATCGACCGGATTTGTTAGATTTCTTGCCGGCCAGTGATTGCCTTGCTCCCTGAGCTGTCCTTTAGATCCGCCCTCTTGCTCAGAAGTCGAACGCGAGATCGGACTGCTGAAGTTGAATAAAGCCGTGGTACTAGATGGTCTTCATACAATCCTCTTCAAATTCGAAGGATCTGCTCTTGTGGATGAGTTGTTAGTGAAACTGTGGGCGCAGGAAACTGTCCCATCCGATTGGAGCCGCTCCGTTATTGTCCCCATCTTCAAGACTTGCTCGCGTTCCGAATATCTCAACCGCAGATAAATCAGTCTGATTTCCATCGCCTCCAAGTTATTTGCGTCTGTCGTCCTTCAAAGACTGACTGGCACCCGTGAAAGCCAGCTTCGGGGGGAGCAAGCCGGGTTTCATCGAGGTCGGGGTTCATCGGTCACATCTTTACTTTTCGCCAAATGTTGGAATATGGTCACAAATATTGGCGGCCCACCGTTGTTGTGTTCCTTGACATCAAAGGCGCCTTCGATTCGGCTGATCGATGTGATCTTTGGGACTGTCTACTCAGCAAAAGTGTGCCCGAGAAATATTCAAATATTATCCGTGCGCTTTACGCGCGTAGCTAGGGCAGGGTGAGGGTTTACGGCAAATTGCGCCACCCTGCAAAATCTCCAGCGGTGTGATACAAGGTTGCCCGTTATCACCTTTCCTTTTTAACTTCACCAACAAAGTCACGGAGACTGCGATCACTGAACACGACTTGCAATTTATGGAGCTTTTTTCCGAGGAACGACTTCTCGACATGGATCATGCCGACGACATCACCCTAATCTGTGACAGATTAGCACCGGCTGTCAGGCGTTTCCGTCTTTGCTTCGCAACCTCAAAGTGCAAGTTACAGTTTTCTGACCGATTCAGTGGCGCAAGCTCACTTCGTTTTCAGACAGTGAAATTACCTAAGTTTAGGCTGATCCTAGCCTTAACACCAACCAATGCTTTGATCAAGAATAATGAAGTCCTTCATTTCGAACTTAATCTCGGCTTGGGTCTACCGAATCCTCTTTTATGATCCGAATGATGATGACGACCTTGGGTTGGGAACCTTTCTTGATATGGCAAAGAGCCGATCTCAACGGCGTTTGTGTTGTGAGTTTCTGTCGCTTCATTCCTCCTAGCCTCTCCCTCCAACCACGATGTCGTTGTTTAAACATGCTAGGAAACACCGCATTATATTATCTTTCTTTTTGCTCTGCCATGTTGTTGTCGTTTCTCCTTTTTCTCTTCAACTTGATTGATTTGTATCTCATCACAATAGCTAGAGTGTTTCATACCCCTTCCCAGTGTGTAAAGTGATGACGTTTAGTTTTGGAGCCATACAGTCCGTCTTGTAGTGCTCTTTTCTCCTTGCGTAACTTTCCCTGGAATCTGTAGTCATAGTTTCACGGCGGATTGTACAACAACTTTTTCCGGCCATCCTAAAAACATGGGTCCTTTATTGGACCCACGTGGATTTATATACCGTGTCACTTCAGGCACATTTCTGTTGACGCTGTCTTTTTACCTCTGTCTTATAAAAAACTTGCGCTCATCCATTATCACCTAATACTGTCTCAATCCATTGTGCTTTATAGTGCAGCTTTGCGAGAAGAAGCGGAGGCTCTCAGGAAGGAGATTATCCGATCCAAACGCCTGGAAATGCAAAGAGAATCTCTGGAACGGATTGCTAAAGAACGCGCCGAAAAAGAATTGCAAGAACACGCCGATGCAGAAGCCGTTGCTCTTGCTCGATGGGAGGCAAGAGAACTTCAAGGAGAAGGCCCCGAGAACAATAAGCCTGTCGTTTTCGATCCAGACACCTTCATTGTCGATATAGCTGGATATAAGGCGAAAGCGAAGCAAGCCAAGCAGGTTGGGCACTTTTCTGTAGTTTTCCCATGTCTCATTTCCTGCAATCATTCGTTCTTAACTTGAACACGCACTTGCTCCAGCCATTCACCGCCGGTGTCGTCATTGTTGCTGGTCGCCTTGCACTTTGGACTGAAGCTCACGGGTCCTTGAATAATGATATCATAATAATAGTAATAATAACAACAATATGTTCTCGGGAAAGCTAGATATGGTCCCTTGAACCTGTTCCGATTATTAGGTACTGATTTCGTACAGAACAGTTAGTGTACATTGGTTGGTCATCAGTAGCTAGAACTTTTGGCCCCTTAGCTCCCAAAGATCTCTGGTAATACATCGTGCGTTGGTGATAATCATTTCATCATAACGTCGTAACGAACTACCTTCCCAATAGTCGTTTAGTGAAAGCAAGCAATGTATGTAAATGGATCTTATACGATGCATTGTAAAGAATAGCGGGAACCTGCGAATAGAACGAATTTGCTGATGATGTAACAATGTATTATAGGATTCATTTATTTATCTATCTATACATACAGCGGAGACAGTCTAGTTTATAGGTGGCTTATTTCACATTTTCGCCAACTGACCAACAGGAACTGTCTTCAACTATACGTTGCGAATCTCTGTCGAAAGCATCATTTGTGACTTATAGACGGAATGCAGTTTATTAAAAACGATTGGCTTATATGATAAAGACTAATTTGATAGGCCAACAGTGCTTAGAACTTTGGTCATGCATGTAGTCAAGCCAGCGAAAGATTTGGAGTGTATTAGACTGGATATAAGTGCCATTCTTATCAAAGCCTCAGTTGTTCCACCAGCGAATGATCAAACCAAGTACAACAGACGCTAAGTATTAAAGAACAAAATGTGTTGAAGCCGTATTGAGAGGACCCCGGTTTCCAGACTAAAAACGCATCAGTAGTCGCACATACTGATGTCACGTGTGCTACCGGGTAACATTGATGTATAGTTATAAGTGAATAAATAGTTAACTGGATTTACTGATGCAGCCGACCAATTTTCCAGGGGTTCAGCCAATATATGGCAGCATTTGAACCAAATAGAACCAACGTAATTAGCGGCCAAGGTGGGCGGAAGAGAATAAACTAAGGCGTGTATGTCCGACTCACTGATGTTCCCCTGGGGCCACTGGTCGACAGTGGGATTTCGGTTCAGGTAAAACTGGGGAGTACAACAGAAGACAAAGGTGAACTAAAGGAAAACAGCTGATTTTTAAATCCGGCTGCCTCAAACATTTATTTTCCTGAACTTCGCAGATTAACTCGATGAATCATCATAGAACATTGCCGAACTGTCGACTGTCAGGTGTTTATCCATTTTGTTACACTATACTGGTACGTATGTTTGCCGGCAATTTGTCCCATATTCTGGATTCTTTAACCAGAAAGAAATTTGCTGTTTATCTTTGACATTGCTCCACTACATTATTTTCGGCTGATCGGTTTCCTCCTTTTGGTTTTTGTCCGTCACCTCACGCTCTTCCGTAACAACTGCCTCTTCTTCAGGGTATGGTGCGACCGACTTGCGAGGACAGATGAAATCATTGTGCTTGCGTACTGTTTCTCCACTTTCTAGTTGTATGTCGGTCCCAGTTTCTGAACTTGTACGCACGGTTCCTGGCTGCCATACTTGCTCGTGCAGGAGATTCGTGAACAAATCTCCTGTTGCAACCAAATCCTGGGGTTTAGCTGGTGCATACGCTGTTGTTGGCAACACCTGGCCTAACGGGAGTCTGGGAAAAGTAGGTCTAGCCTCGTATGTAGCCGACGCCCAAACATAGCCTCCCCCGAGCTTTATCTGATGAACTCCAGCGTTGTGGTGCGATTCGCGAATATGAATCGGTCAAGTTTGGTGCGCAACATGCCATGGCGTTGCTTCGGTAGACCGGCCTTCACGGTTCGTACCGATATTTCCGCGAAACCGCTTGACGCTTGGTAGTTTGGTGCGGAGGTCATGTGGTGAATGTCATTACCTTGTAGGTAATTTTTGAACGCTGCACTGGAGAACTGCGGACCGTTATCCGTGCCCAATATTTTCGGTATACTGTGCATGCATAAACTACGACTTAACTTATTGGTTGTAATTTTCTTAGTAGCGTTAGCGATGATATTTACACCTGTCCACTTGGAATACGCATCTACCAGGTGTAGCAACCTTTCCCCTTCAAGCGGACCAAAATAGTCATCGTAGGCACGTTCCTATGGACTGTCAGGCAGCTCCCAAAGGTGGATGGGACCGGTTGGTTTGTTTTTGTAATACTTTGGCATGTGGTACGAATATACAAAAGCGTTTCGATATCTTAATGGATCGTCGAACACCAGCAGTATGCTCTGGCCAGAGCTTTAATGCGGATGAGCATCGTTTAGCTCTCTCTCAGAACAGCTGGTCTTAGCCGCGATGGGATAACGATACGAGATCCACGCAATATACCTCTTTCCTGCAGGCTTAGCTCAAATCGGCGATTGAAAAATGGACGCAGATAGTCAGAGGATCGCAATTTATACCTTTTTTTAACCATGTCACTGGATCTTGGTTTATTGTCTTGGTGTTGCAGCCGTCGAACAAATTCGAATGGCACTCCACTTCGTTCCTCCTGTTGAACAGCTTGTGGTAGTTTATTGAGAGATTCAGCAACATTCTTTTGAGAACCAGCGATGTGTCGAATTTAATCATTGTAGGTAGAAAGTAGAAGTGCCCAGGGTACCATTCGGGGTGCGTTTAGTTGCTCTATGCCGTGTCACTCACTGAGAGGCGAGATCAGCGGTTTATGGTCAGTCTGTATCTTGAACCGATTGCCCCACAAATACTGATGGAAACGCTTGACCCTGAAATTCACTGCCAGTACCTCTTCGTCCAGTTGCACGTGATTTTTCCCAGCAGCCTGTAATGTGCGAGACACGAAAGCAATGGGACGAATGGTTCCGTCGTGAACCTTAGGTCTTAGTACTACTCCAATCCTAATCGGCGAGGCATCACATTGTAAGATGATGAGCTTGTTTGGATCGTAATGTACCAACATTGGTGAAGAAGCAAAAAGAACTTTTACTTTCTCTAATGCTTGTTTCTCTCTCTCTCACCATGACCACTTGGAGTATTTCTTTAACAAGTCGTGAAGTGGTGCTATGATAGATTGGGTAGGAAACGACGATAATGCGATCACGTCCCAACGAACGAACGTAGTGCTTCCTTACCTGGTGGGAGTGCAGAAATAATGGGCTACAATTTGTTTTTCCGTGCATTTAACCCATGTTTATGCAGCCGATAATCAAGGTAGTCAACGGAATCAACCATAAAAGCACATTTGGAGCGTTTCAAACGTAAACCATGTTCAGACAGTCCAACGTGCAGAGGTGTTCCTCTTCTGCGCGACCTGTAATTAGCAGATCATCGAGGTATTCGGTATATCACGCACGATGTTGTCAAAGATTCTTTGGAAGATAGCCGGGGTTGAACTAACCCCAAAAGGAAGCCTGATCTATTCAAATAGGCCCAAATGTGTATTGACCTTAGTAAGATGGCTCAACGCTTCATCTAATTTCACCTGGCAATAAGCACGGCTCAAATCTAATTTAGTAAGCTTGACCCTGCCAGATAAGGTGGCGTACAAATCCTCGATTTCATGTAGTAAATAATAGTCTATGATTGCACTGCGATTTATTGTTAGCTTCTGATGGCTACAAATCCGTACGATGCCGTCCATTCAGCTTGTTAAACTGGTACAATCATGCCTTCTCGCTGGGGCCTTTTCAACCCATCTTCCATCTTTGGGCGTACTTTGTAAGGCAGTGTTCTGGCCTTTAAGAATTTAGGCCTATTAGAGTCCGCCATATGTAGCTGTTTTAAAATTGTTCAGATTTCCCAACTAGTGTTCGTTGAACACCTCTGGATATCGCTTAAGAACCGAGTCCACGGTGTCCTCCTCCACGGCATGGATAATATTCAATACTTGTAGAAACTGTTTCATTCAGTTTCGACTCAGTAGATTGACTGGAGCATGAAACACAACATGAAGTACTAGACTGTATGATCTACCTTGGTGTGTAATTCTTTTCTGACACTTCCCAACTATCTCAATCATATTTTTTGAAAACGGTATCACTCGACTTCAGGTTAGGCAATGATGAGAGCGGGTTTCTGCTAATCAATATCACAGCGGAACCGGTGTCCAATACAAATAAAACAGGTTCGCCATTAACATGAAGTCTAACACTATGCGGAGATACTCTCATTATAATGGAGCAATTTGCAGTTATATGGTCATAAAATTTAACTAGGAATCAGGACACTCACCGTCTTCTTGATTCAACGATTTACTCGAAGCTTGTGACCCTGGAGAACTGCATACACGTGCCAACTGGTTAATTTTTCCGCAACTCCTGCACTTGGTTCGTATGTGAGGCCCCTGGGTGGGGGAAATGTGCTTGTCACCGCATCGGTAGCAAATGAACTTTTATAACCTATTTTTGGAGGAAATATGTGCAGCCAGCTTATTTACATACTCAGTAAGCTAAAGCGTAGTTATGGGTAGCTGAGATTTCAGGTATTTGACGTACTAAGTTACAAGGGATTTCCCATGAAAGGATTTCTTCCTCTTGTGACGGTAACTATTCTCACGCGTCATAATTTATAACCACCGATAAGGCACTGAATTTTCATGACACTATGAGGGAATTGCATTTTATCGGCATTCTGGTATCTCAAGGGTATGCCCACAGTGAAGTCATTTACACTTTCTCTGTATTGCTGCTGTAATTAAAAAAAACTGAGAACGAGCAGAATAGACACTTTGTTTTATTCCACGCATCTCCTTGAACAACTGGATCACGTGTATGCTACTTGTTTTAGCTATTAAGTCCATGACGTCAAAACGTCGTTGTCTTTCTCAACCAAGTGCTCTTCGAAATAACATCATCCAGTGGGCATCGGACAGCTCATTAGAAGCATTAAACACGGAGAAGAGTCATATGATGTTGGAA